TCTCCTTGATATGCCACCCTTATTTCTTCTTCAAAATCTATGAACTAGTTCGGATGAAGGACCACAGTCACAACCATCTTATCGAATCCTCATTCATAGTATTATCCATAAAATCTATAGATTAATTCCAAATGAAGACAGATCAAAAATCATAATCGTCTTCAAAAGAATATTCTCTATAGTTATCAACCAACAGTTTTATTATTAAAACCTTTCAAAATCAAGAACAATCTATTCTTTCAAGGGTTTCCAAAAACATCAGATCCCTTTTTAAATCCTCAAAACAGGATATCATTTCCAAAACTGTTTTAAAGAAGCAATCCCTTCTTTATCTTTCCCAACACAGTTTTTAATACTCAAATATATAACAATAACATCTTTAAACTATCAAAATAGTTTTACCATCTTTTCTTCAAAACCAACATAAAGACTCAGTAGTTTATATAACAATATATATAAAAGTTTTAATCATCAAAAACTCACCTTAATAATCACAGGTTCTGCAGATTATAAACACACTGTAGATCTTTAATTAGCACAGAATCTTCAAATCACTTTTGTGTATTAATCTTTCTCAAGAATTCTTTCACTGCCACATACTTTCTTTTTCTCAAAAAGGTTCCTTTCTCCAAAAATCAAGATATGGTATGATCTTATCTTTTTCCTTCTTTATATATTTTTCTAACAAAGGCGGTGATGGTTTTATTAAAATAAAACTCTTTGGCAGTGAAAGCTTTAACCAATAAAGGTAATTTAGGCGGTGAGTTTTTCATTATAAAATTCATGATTTCTTAACCATTAATGTATAAGTTTTTAAATAATATAATAATGTTTCCACCAGAATATCTTATTGCAAATATGCACCACCTCATGTATGCTTCACACCACATGCATATATGTATAAATTACATACATATCATGCCATCTTTTCACATATATGCATGCACAATATCATGTTCACATTTCACATATATAGTTCATGCATTTCTACTTAGATATGCATATTTCACGTAATCCACATAATGAACATATATAAATTACCTCAACCCAGGTTGTCTAAAACCTGGTTATAACATTTTCCCCCTTAAAAGAATTTCGTCCCGGAATTCACTTATTCAAATAACCGCGTATATTGAGTTCTCATGTCAGATTCTAATTCCCAAGTTGCTTCTGAACCTTTATGAAAATGCCACTGCACTTTTACTAAACTGATCTCCTTGTTTCTCAATACTCTGGTCTTTTTGTTAGTTATTGCTTCTGGTGTCTCGATAAAACTTAGCTTATTGTCAAGTTTTAATCTCAGGAAGTGGTATTGCTAAACTTGAGTCTGCCAAACATTTGCGTAGATTTGATACATGAAAGGTGTTGTGAATWAAGYRGAGTTCTTCTGGTAATTCCAACTGATAAGCTACTGGTCCAATTCTTTTGCAGATTCTGAATGGTCCAATATACCTTGGACTAAGCTTACKTTTCTTCCCAAATCTCATAACACCTTTCCATGGAGATACCTTTAACATTACAAAGTCAAAATTCAATCGGTTTTCTTCGTTTGTCGGCATAGCTTTTCTGTCGATCCTGGGCAGTTTTGATTTTTGCTCGAATCTGATCAATCTTTTCAGACGTTATCTGCACAATCTCGGGACCTGTCAACTGTTTTTCACCTACCTCATTCCAACATAACGGCGTTCGACATTTTCTTCCATATAGGACTTCATAAGGTGCCGCTTGGATATTAGAGTGACAACTATTATTGTAGGCGAATTCTATCAACAACAAATGTTCTTCCCATGATCCCCCGAAGTCGATGACACAAGATCTCAACATATCTTCGAGAGTTTGGATGGTTCTTTCACTTTGTCCATCTGTTTGTGGGTGATAAGTCGTACTTAATCTAATTTGTGATCCCAAAGCTCTTTGCAGACTTTCCCAGAACTTTGAAGTAAAGCGACTGTCTCTATCAGATATGATGGACAATGGAACTCCATGTCTAGTTACAATTTCTTTGATATAGATTTGAGCCAATCTTTCCAATGAATAAGTCTCTTTCATTGGTAGGAAATGTGCA